AATTTAATAGTTTACAAGTTTTAAGTTCTTAATTCTACAAGAAAATACTTTAAAAAATCCTGAATTTCCACTAAGACTCTCTTAAGGTAGCCAAATGCCTCATCATCTAATTAGTGACGCGCATGAAAGGATTACCGAGATTCCCACTGTCCTTATCTACTATCTAGCGAAACCACAGCCAACGGAATGGGCTTGGAGAAATCACCCCCCTCAAAAATGTACAAAATTAAATGCAAGTTACTCTCCATCAATCATTATTGCTCAGACAAACCATATCTGTCCAAAAATTTAATTAGATCTCAAAATGGTCAAGAGATGACAGAGCCATTTTATAAGCTGCTATATCCCAAGGCTAAAAATCAGGATGTAATTACATCTTTACTGATGAAAAAAAAAAGTTCCAATTTCTAGCACTTAGCCACCACAGAAAAGTTTCATGGAATTCTTCTTCTTAACTTGTTCCTTTTTCAGCATGTTTAATACAAGGAGTATTTGCAGTCACGCATTTCACTTTGACCAGCATATGTTCGTGCTGACTTTGATCGACACATACTGCTGTTGCTGTAGGTCCTTGTGTAAGCTCTGCGGTTTTATTGTGTGAGTACTGATTTGAGTTGCTTGCTCCCACTAAGAGCCTGTGGTATAGTATGACTCAACAAACTGTATGAATGTTTTACTACTGATTAAAGCGAAAACTTCACTTCCTCCACTACATGCATTTTACATGATATATTATTTGTAACAAGGTAGTTTCTGTAGGTTGTAAGTCCAGTGTTTGTGATCCCCAATGGTTTTCTATTTACTGCAGTATGCAATACAAATTTAGATCAAGAGAGCACGACATCCAAAGGGATACTGACGGGTGGCCATCGTGGCTGCAGATGAGCACCACAGCTATTTTGAAAAATATGGCAGCAATTGCTGCCGTGAATTTCTTGGCCTGCTACATACAACAATATAGTTCAAAACAGGCCTTGTTAACTCTTTCAGTATGGGCTCGGTCCCTGGGACCAACCTCATAACCATTTTATGCTTGTTATAGTTTTCATGCTATAACTTTTAAATTGGTAAGCGAATGTTAACGAAGTTTGGCAGATTATCAGTAAACATTACAAAGCTTTCATACACAAAATATCAATTTTTGTTATTAAGTCTTAAGGTTTGTTTGTTTGTTTTGAATTTTTGCGCAAAGTCACACAAGGACTATCTGTGCTAGTCGTCCCTAATTTAGCAGTGTAAGACTAGAGGGAAGTCAGCTAGTCATCACCACCTACCGCCAACTCTTGGGCTACTTTTTTACCAAAAAATAGTGGGATTGACCTTCACTTTATAACGCCCCCACGGCTGAAAGGGCAAGCATGTTTGGTGTGACGAGGGTTCGAACCCGCGAACCATAGATTGCGAGTCGAGCGCCCTAACCACCTGGCTATGCCGGGCCTTAAGGTTTATAAAGCAATGTTTTTCTTATGCCTTTTTTTCTTTTCACATTTTGCCTATCTATCATGCAAAGTAATATTTTATTTTAAGATTAAAATACTTTTATGCATAAGACTATTTTGAAATTTCACATAAGAAATCTTTATAACGTCCAAATAGTTATCAAATGTTTCTTAAGAAAAACTTTATATTTTATCTGATATTTTCAGTAATTAATCTCTGTATGGGTTTGGTAAATCTCACAACCACCATAAAAAATTTGGAAATAAATACAAATTTTGCCTCTTCCATTCTAGAATGAACACAAATTATAGCATGAAAACACAAATGTTTAGATTAAATAGCTTAAATCTCATAACATTATACATTTATATATATTTATTATTTTTATTATATTGATCTTTCAGCCATTCCTGGCTAACTATACAGAAGTTACAATGACGAGGCTCACGTACACTCGTATTACCGTATCAAATAACAT